TTCTTGTTTTTCTTGATCCAAACACTTTTTTTTTAAATTATTACTATTTATTATTATAATCATATTATTATTATTTTTTTTTAAGATTTATTTTTTTCCCCCCAAAGTCCCAGTAGACAGTTGTACGTCATAGCTGCACATCCTTCTAGTTGCTGCATGTGGGACGCGGCCTCAGCATGGCCGGAGAAGCGGTGCCTCAGTGCTTGCCCGGGGTTCCAAACCCCGGCCGCCAGCAGTTGAGCGCGCACACTTAACCGCTAAGCCACGGGGCCGGCCCCAAACACTTTTGATGAGTACTCACCAGGTACTTTATTCAATGTCCCTCAACTTGCATTTGATATTTTTTTGTGAGTGGAGTTGTGGGTTTGGGGGAAGGACATCACAGTGATGAACTGTCCTTGTTGCATCATACTATGTGGTACATGATGTCAACATGACATCACTAATGATGCTAACCTTGATCACTTGGTTAGGGTGGTGCTGCCAGTTTCCTCTGCTTTCAAGTTACTGGTTTTCTCTTTCCATACTTAGTCACTAAGTCCAGCTGACTCAAGGGAAAGAGAATCAAGCTCCCCCACCTGAAGTAGTAGTATCTGTATTGTTTGGAATTCTTCCTTAGGAAGATTTGTCTCATCTCCCTCTTTATTTACATGAGAGCACTACTGATTATTGTTTTTATTTTAAAAAATCAAATAAATATCAGTACTTTTTTTTTTTTTGAGGAAGATTGGCCCTGAGCTAACATCTGTTACCAATCTTCCTTTTTTTTTTCTCCCCAGAGCTCCAATACATAATTGTATATCCTAGTTGTAGGTCCTACTAGCTCTTCTATGTGGGATGCTGCCTCAAAATGCTTGATGAGTGGTGAGTAGGTCCGCACCCAGGATCCAAACCAGCGAACCCCTGACCACAGAAGCGGCACACACAAACTTAACTGCTTTGCCGTCAGGCCGCTCCCAATATCAGTACTTCTTATAAGAACTATGTGCCTTGTAATTCCCATTTTATATAAGTGAAGTGAGAAAGGGAAGATCAACTCCTTTGTGATGTAATTAGTAATTGTCTGTAACAAGACAACAGGGTCAAATGCACACCGTTTCCATTTTCATAACTCTATGTATCCTCAATTCATTGGGAAGCTGGATTTTATTTTTCTCACCTTCATAGTCACAAGAAAAAAAAGTCAACCAATGGTGACTTCTAAGACTTTTTGCAATATAATTCTCGAAGGATTGTTATAATTCTCAACATGACTTGGTTGGTTTCTTGTCTGCAACAAGTTAATGTTGGGTTGACTCAGGGTTCACCTCTGTCCATTTCTTTCTCCATCTTTTCTCATTCTTTTGTTGGCCTCACCCAGTATCATTAGTTGAAATAACAGTGAATGCTAACAACACCCAAATTCATATATCCAGGCCCGAACCCTCTCCCAATGTTCACACATAGGTTGAAGTGCACAGGTGACACACTTTGTGGTCTTACAGACATTTCAAACTGACCATGCCCAAACTGGAGTCCTGAACTTCCTCCAAGCCACCCCTACTTGCAGCCTCCCCACTTCAAGGAATGGAGGTGGCTCTGGGTCAAAGAAGGCCCAAAAGAGACGGGTCTGCGCGCGCGCACCGTGTTGGAGGGGGAATTCCAGCGTCCTCCTGGCCGTTATTCTGACCGCTCATTTATCCGTATCCCTTACAAGACGATCCGGGGAAGAGAGAATGCGCACGGGGAAGTCCGGAGCCGAGCCGCGGGCGGATTCCACGCCTCTGCACTTGTCGTGACCCCGGGCGGAGGTCCCCGCCTCCTGAGCCTCGATTTCCCCGGGCGCAGAATGTACGGTCTCGCCCCTGCCCCTGTTCCTCCGAATTGTGCCTACTGTGAAGAGGCGAGAGGACGCGGGCCTCATGGCCTCACGCGTGCTTCAGCGGGGAAACGCGGGCTCAGAAAATTCCTCACAGCCGGTGCCTTGTGAGGCAGAAACTACACTACCCAGAAGGCTGTGCACCGCGTGTCTGCGCGGTGGGCCAATGACGGCCCACGCCGGCAGGGGTGGAACTTCCGGCTCCTCCGAGTCCTACGTCATCTGTCTATGCCGGGCAGGTGCTACTGGGCTGTGGGGCCTTGAGCGATGGGCCGTGCGCGTTTCCCAGGCCCGAGTAGGGGAGGGCGGTCAGGAGGGTAGGGCCCACCTCCGCGTCTTTGTACGAGCCGAACACCCGCCCCGTGTCCTCCATAACGGGGGTGTCCCGTCAGGTCCCGCCCGGGCCCCAGCCTCTGTGTCCGCAGCCCTCACGCGACGCCCTAGGCCTCGTGCGCCTTTCACGCCGGGGAAACTGAGGCTCGGAGGGCGACAGTCACCCGAGGCCACCTCACTCTGGGCAAGGGAGGGGCGGCGGCCGGCTGAATCCTGTCGCCGCCTCTCCGGGCCCCGCTCTCTCCACAGGGTCCCGTGATGGCGGCGGCGTGGAGGGACCCGGCGCGGGTGAGTGGACGATGTTTTCGGCGTTGCTGCTTCTCTGCTAGTTCGCGGAGGGCTCCAGGGCGGGGTGGAGGCCGCCTAAGCCACTCGATTTCTCTCTGTCCTTGTCGTTTATTTACAGCAAGTGGCGCCGGCTTGTCACTTATCCGGAGTCCTACAGCAGCGTCGGGTCTCTGACAGGTGTTCAGTCAGTGCGGGAAGGATGATTGAAGTTTCCTTCCAGGGGCTCCCATTACGCTTTTAAGTCCAGCGCGCCGCCGTGGCCTGCGGGTCCCTTCCCCATCCTCCCGGCCCCCCTCCTCTGACCTTCCCTTCTTCCCTGCCTCACGGTTCTTCCGACACACCCCCCTGGCCATGCTCGGTTCTCTCTCATACCCCTCTGCCTTTGCGCTGGCTTTTGCCTGCGACACTGCCCCTGTGTCTTTGCAGGGCCTCCCTCTCACATCCTGCTGGCCTCTGCTCAGACGTCGCCTATGTGGAGAGGACTCTCCTAGCAGTTCAGGCTAAAAGGACCCCCTCCCGGCTTGTCATGCTCTGGCATTCTTGTGTAGGGAACCTGGCAAAATTAAATAAGTGTGCCTGGTGGGATTTGTCCGGGATGTTGTGGGAGCAAAGAGAAAACAACAAAAGAACCATAATAGCTGGCCTTCATTGAGTCCTTACTGTGGGCTGACAGGCAGGCAGGCATAATATATCACTTCATTTAATCCTCAACTCCTCAGAGTTAAGTTCTGTTATTATCACTGTTTTGCAAAAGTACAACTCGAGGCTTAGAGAGGTTCAGTTACCTGCCCAAGTTCACTGCAGCTCTTTTTTTTTTAAGTACTTAATTTAATTTTATTTTATTATTTTTTATTTTTTGTGAGGAAGATGAACCCTGAGCTAACATCCATACCAATCCTCCTCTTTTTGCTGAGGAAGACTGGCCCTGAGCTAACATCCATGCACATCTTCCTCCACTTTATGTGGGCCGCCGCCACAGCATGGCTTGACAAGTGGTGCGTTGGGTGTGCGCCCCGATCGGAACCCGGGCCACCAGCAGCGGAGCACGGGCACTTAACCGCTATGCCATGGGGCGGCCCCCACTGCAGCTCTTAAGTAGCAGAAACTAACAACCAGTAGTTCACCACCACAGCCTGTATTTTTACCCTCTTCTGTCTGAACAGTGGATAGGGAGGCCTGCAGGTGACACCTAAAGTAAACTATGCAAGCCAAGTGGGCTTCCTTCCAGTCAGTGGTCTTGGGCACCAGTGGGCGACATGGCATTTTAGCAGGTGGAAGTGTGTGGAAAAAAAAAAGATGTATTGGCTGTTTAAGGAGTTCCCTGAGGACCTGTGGGGTTGCCATAGTCCTTCCCCCACCCCACTCCACCCCCCCATCTGCTGAGACATGTCCTGGGAGTGCCAGACTGTGTGGTCATTTGCTGAATGTTCCATCCTGCTCAGCCAGAACAGACATCATGGGCAGTCGGAGGCCGTTATTCTCATGGCCCCGCCTGCATTGTCCTTGGCTACTCTTGTTTTCTGGTCCTGAAGTATTCTGTCCTCACGGATATATGCTGTCAGGACTCAGGTAGGAAAAGAAGTGATGGCTCATTGTGGGTTCTCCCTGGGAGTCTCCAAGGCGCAGACGGCAACAGGAGCTGCTCCAGGCCCTGCCACTTCCCAAGCAGGTGCCACCAACTCAGGTGACTGTCCTGTGAGGTGGGTGATAATGAACCCACTCCTCTGCCAATATCCACAGAAATATTTTCAGTGGTGGCTGAAATGAATGTAACTGTGCAATTTATTTGAAATGCTTCACATCTTCATTAACTATGGTTTTACTTTTAATGGAGGAGTGTCAGGGTTATGCAGTTAGGCTCTAGACGAGAGGGGCCTGAGTTCAAATCCTGTCTCTGCTCATAACACGTGTAAACTTTGGGTGAACTGGTAGAGCTCCCTGGACTTCACGTCCCTGAGTGGCATGAAGATAATGATGGTGTTGACCTAGGGCTGTGACCAGTCACCCCAGTGTTTCTTTTACAAGTATTGTTTCTTTAGTTCTCATAACTGTTATTGCTGAGTGAGAATTATTGTATTGATCCAGAAATTGAGGTTCAGAGAAATGAAGTCCCCAAGTTCACACAGCAGGCAAGTGTTGATTTTAAGATTTTGGATTCAAACGTCAGCAGTATGACTAAAGCGCTAGGGACTTTCATTCACTTCTAACACGACACGTGAAGCCTTCAGCACCAGGCAGGCACACAATGAGGACCAATGAGGACCAATAAGTCCCGGGTAATGTTGCTGTAATTATTATTGGTATTGTTTTCATTATCATTATTACTCTTTCCCATTTCTCTGACATCTTAGAGTCCTCACCATTCTGTGCCTCAGTCCACACAGGATGGTCCTGACCCTGTGCCGTTCTCCACTGGCTCCCACATGGGAGGCCTCTGTCCCCTCTACTGCTGTAATCAGTGCAAAGCAGTGTCCGCCTCCTGGAGCCCAGTGCAGAGCTCAGCCCTCGGGAGGTGTTTGGCCTCATTGCACCTTCACCATTGAGAGAGACGGTCTGTGATCCCGTTCAGCAGCCCCAAGACCAACACTGCTGCCTCTGTTTGACTTTCCAGGTGTCTGTGACCTTTGAGGATGTGGCCGTGACTTTTACCCAGGAGGAGTGGGGGCAGTTGGAGCCCATCCAGAGGACCCTGTACCAGGAGGTGACGCTGGAGACCTGCAGGCTCCTGGTCTCTCTGGGTGAGGCCTCCCCAACTGTGCCATGTGGAGGACCTGTCACCTCCTTCATTCCACCCTCTGGCTCCAGGCTTGGCTGGTCAAGAAGGCCTCTGTAGCCCACCTACCCTCCTCCCCACAACTTCACTTGTTTTCTAGACTCACCTCTTTCTGCCTGGTCTCCTTGTATCTCAGAGAGGGTTGGGCAGAAATATAGTTTGCCTTTGGTCACAGCCAAAGGAGAGGGATGTGGGGAGGAAATGAGGGTGTCTCTCAGAAGCCAAAAGCAAGAATTCCAGTGGGGCTCCTCAAGGGACTGGTGTAGGAACTTAGAGAAGCGTGATTGTACCCTGGCTTCTGGGTCTCTTGTCCTGGCCTCTCTCTCTGGGTCTGCCCATGTCACTGTCTTTTCACAGTGGCTTTTTCTGCCACACTTATTTTGCAGAAAGATGTGATCACCTAGTTCTTGCTTTCTGAGGCCCACACAGCCCTTGTCTCTACTTCTTTCTGTCTATGTATATTGTTTCTCTGTTCATGCTCCACTCATTTAAGTCTCCCAGCATGTCGTCCTTGGCAGGTAAGGAAAATGGGGCCATTGCAGTGGATCTCATAAAACTTAATCCATTCAATTTAAAAGACACGTCTTTGGGCCGGCCCCGTGGCTTGGCGGTTAAGTGCGTGCGCTCTGATGCTGGCAGCCCGGGTTCGGATCCCGGGCGCGCACTGACGCACTGCCTCTCTGGCCATGCTGAGGCCGTGTCCCACATACAGCAACTAGAAGAATGTGCAACTATGACATACAACTATCTACTGGGGCTTTGGGGGAAAAATAAATAAAAAAAAAAAAAAAAAAAAAAAAAAAAAAAGAAAAATCCTCATTTAAAAAAAAAAATAAAAGACACGTCTTCATTGTGAAAAGCTCTCTTCTGCGTTTTTTTGGTAGTAGAAGTTCTTTGTTTTGTAAAATGTTGGTTAGAATAGATGATATTTGATGTTTATGCAGATGTCTCTATTTGACCAAATCCATGTGTGGGATTCCCAATTTTTTACTTTTAGTGGTGCATGAAATGCTGAAGTCTGTTGTCATCAAGTCTGCCCCTCCCTCTGGCCCCTGTTTCCTGAGGATTGAATCATTCCGCTCACGTCTCCCTCTCACCACCACAGCCCACTTGGTCTGAGGCTGCCGGCTCCACACAGGAGTGTTGCTGTTCCTCCTTCGTTTAGCGCTTGGGAGACCAGGGTCTGGTGCCAGACCTCCGGTCTCCAATCCCCACTCTGCTGCTTGTGAGCTGTGTGTTCCTGAGCAAGTTACTGAACCCCTCTGTGCCTCAGTTATCTCATAGGTAAAATGAGGTAATATAGTAGCTATTTCCCAGGGCGCTTGTGCGGGTAAATGGCTCAGAACAATGCCTGGTGATGCCTTGCTATATGCAGGTTTAGCAATTTTGACTCCTGCTGCTGTCAGTACTGTTAATAATATCATCATCCTTCATGTTGGCATGGTCATCATCCTCACACTTGGACTTGGCATTTTCTGGAACAATGTTATGTAGCTTTGTAGTTAAATAGGCCAGATTCCAGAGATGACTAGACCCTGGTTTCCATCTTGGCTCAGCCGTTCATCATTTCCATGGTTTCAGCAAATCACTTTATCTGCCTGACTCCTGGTTTCTTCATCTATAAAATGGTGCTAATCACAGTATGTCCTTCATATGGATGATGTACGGAAATCCTGAAATAGAATTTTTCATGCAGGGCCCACAGGAAGCACAGTATAACGCTTTGCTTCAGGCCTAAAAAAGACTTAGAGCAATGAAGACACATACCTTGTTCCTGAATGAAAAGACTTGATATTTTAAATATGTCATTTCTTTTCTAAATTAGTGCATAAATTTAATTAAATTTTTTAAAAAACGTAATTCATGGGGCCAGCCTGGTGGCATAGTGGTTGGGTTCATGAGCTTTGCTTTGGCAGCTTGGGGTTGGTGGGTTTGGATCCCGGGCGCAGACATACACACCACTCATCAAGCCATGCTGTGGCGGCATCCCACATACAAAATAGAGGAAGATGGGCACAGATGTTAGCTCAGGGAAAATCTTCCTCAAGCAAAAGGAAGAAGATTGGCAACAGATGTTAGCTCAGGGCCAATCTTCCTCACACACACACAAAACAAAACATAATGCATTTAAGTAGCTTGTCTCAGTCCCTGGGATATAAATGTTAGTTCTTGGGTTTTTTGTTTTTTAGTGAGGAAGATTCTCCCTGAGCTGACATCTGTGGCAATCTTCCTCTATTTTGTATGTGGGATGCCCCCGCAGCATGGCCAGCAAGTGGTGTATGTCTGCGCCCGGGATCTAAACCTATAAACCTGGGCCGCTGAAGCAGAGCGCGCTGAACTTAACCATTATGCCACGGGGCTGGCCCTGGGGTTTTCCTTTTTAAGACTATTTTTTTAGAGCAGTTTTAGGTTCACAACAAAATTGAGAGGAAGGTACAGAGATTTCCCATATAGCCCCTACCCTTACATGTGCATAGACTCTCCCCATTATCAACATTTCCCCCCAGAGTGGTACATTTGTTACAGTTAATAAACCTACACTGACACATCATCATCACCCAAAGTCCGTAGTTTACATTAGAGTTTGCTCTTGGTGTTGTATATTCTGTGGGTTTGGACAGATGTATAATGACATGTACCCATCATTATAGTGTCATACAGAATATTTTAGCTGCCCTAAAAATCCTCTTTGCTCTGCCTATTCTTCCCATCCCCTACCAACCCCTGGCTACCGCTGATCTTTTTACTGTTTCCATTTGTGTTTTCCGGCATGTCATATAGTAGGAATCATATAGTATGTAGCCTTTTCAGATTGACTTCTTTCACTTAGTAATATGCATTGAAGGTTCCTCCATGTCATTTCATGGCTTGATAACTCATTTCTTTTTACTGCTGAATAATATTCCATTGTTTGGATGTATCATAGTTTATCCAGTTTATCTGAAGAACATCTTGTTTGGTTCCAAGTTTTGGCAATTATGAATAAAGCTGCTATAAACATCCATGTGCAGATTTTTATGTGGACATAAGTTTTTGGCATGTTTGGGTAAATACTAATGAGTGTGATGGCTGGATCTTGTGGTGAAGGTATGTTTAGTTTTGTAAGAACCCAACAAACTGTCTTCCAAAATGGCTGTATCATTTTGCATTCCCACCAGCAATGAATGAGAGTTCCTGCTGCTCCTCATCCTCACCAGTGTTGTCAGTGCTCCAGGTTTTGGCCATTCTAATAGGTGTGTGGTAGTATCGTGTTTTTTTTGTGTGTGTGTGTGAGGAAGATCAGCCCCGAGCTAACATCCATGCCAATCCTCCTCTTTTTGCTGAGGAAGACTGGCTCTGAGCTAACATCTATTGCCAATCCTCCTCTTCTTTTGCCCCCAAAGCCCCAGTAGATAGTTGTATGTCATAGATGTACATCCTTCTAGTTGCTGTATGTGGGATGCGGCCTCATCATGGCCGGAGAAGCAGTGTGTCGGTATGCGCCCAGGATCCGAACCCAGGCCACCAGTAGCGGAGTGCATGCACTTAACCACTAAGCCACAGGGCCAGCCCTATCTTGTTGTTTTAATTGCTTTTGCCTGATGACGTATTCTGTGGAGCATCTTTTCCTATGCTTATTTGCCATCTGTATATTGTCTTTGATGAGGTGTCTGTTAAGGTCTTTGGCTCATTTTTTAATCAAGTTCTTTTTGCTTTCTTATTGTCTGGTTTTAAGAGTTCTTCGTATATTTTGGATAACTGTCCTTTATCAGATGTGTGTTTTGCAAATATTTTCTCCCAGTGTGTGGCTTCTCATTCTCTTGGTACTGTCTTTGGCAGAGCAGAAGTTTTTAACTATTTCTTTCATGGATCATGCCTTTGGTGTTTTACCTAAAAAGTCATCGCCATACCCATGGTCATCTAGCTTCTCTCCTATAATATCTTCTAGGAGTTTTATGGTTTTATGTTTTATATTTAGGTCTATGATCCGTTTTGAGTTAATTTTTGTGAAGGGTATAAGATCTGCATCTAGATTCTTTTTTCACATGTGGATGTCCAGTTGTTCCAGCACCATTTCTTGAAAAGACTATCTTTGCTCCATTGTATAGCCTTTGTGTATTTGTCAAAGATGAGTTGACTAAATTTATGTTGGTCTATTTCTGGGCTCTCAGTTCTGTTCTATTGATCTATCTTTCACCAATATCACACTGTCTCGATGACTGTAGCTTTATCCTAAGTGTTAAGGTTGGGTAGTGTCAGTCCTCCCACTTTCTTCCTCTTCAGTATTGTGTTGGCTCTTCTGGGTCTTTGGCCTCTCCATATAAACTTGAGCATCAGTTTGTTGATATCTGCAAAATGACTTGCTGGGATTTTGACTGGGATTGCATTGAATCTGTAGATCAAATGGAGAAGAACTGACAGCTTGACAATATTGAGTCTTCCTATCCATGAACATGAAATAGCTCTCCATTTATTTTGTTCTTTGATTTTGTTTATCAGAGTTTTGTAGTTTTTTCCTTTTTTTTTTTTTTTTGTGAGGAAGATCAGCTCTGAGCTAACATCCATGCTAATCCTCCTCTTTTTGCTGAGAAAGACCGGCTCTGAGCTAACATCTATTGCCAGTACTCCTCCTTTTTTTTATTTCCCCAAAGCCCCAGTAGATAGTTGTGTGTCATAGTTGCACATCCTTCTAGTTGCTGTATGTGGGACACTGCTTCAGCATGGCCGGAGAAGCGGCGCGTCGGTGCACGCCCAGGATCCGAACCCGAGCCGCCAGTAGCAGAGCGTGCGCACTTAACCACTAAGTCACGGGGCCGGCCCTGTAGTTTTTTCATATAGATCTTGTACATGTTTTGTTAGATTTATGCCTAAGTGTTTCATTTTGGGGGAGTGCTAATGTAAATGCTAATGCATTTTTAATTTTAAATTCTATTTGTTCATTGCTGGTATATAGGAAAGAAATAGACTTTTGTACATTAACCTTGT